GGGACCACGGCTCTGTGGTGGCTGGGAAGGGAGTTTGGGGTCGGTTCTGCAGGATTTGGGGAAGGGATTTTGGGTTTTTTTCAGCAGCATTTGGTGAATTTGCAGTTGGTTCTGCAGGATTTGGGGAAGGGATTTTGGGGTTGGCTCTGCAGTCTCTGGGGAAGGGAGTTTGGGATTTTTTCCTGCAGGATTTGAGAAGGAATTTTGGGGTTGGCTCTGCATGCACCATTTGGAGAAGGGAGTTTGGGGTTGGTTCTGCAGGATTTGGGGTTGGCTCCACAGAATTTGGGGAAGGGATTTTGGCGTTTTTTCAGCAGGATTTAGGAAGGAAGTTTGCAGTTGGTTCTGCAGGATTTGGGGTTGGCTCCACAGAATTTGGGGAAGGAAATTTGACGTTTTTTCAGCAGGATTTGGGAAGGGAGTTTGCAGTTGCTTCTGCCGAATCTGAGGAAGGAATTTTGGGGTTGGCTCTGCAGTGTCTGGGGAAGGGAGTTTGGGATTTTTTCCGCAGGATTTGGGGAAAGGAGTTTGGGGTTGGCTCCACAGAATTTGGGGAAGGAAATTTGAGGTTTTTTCAGCAGGATTTGGGAAGGGAGTTTGCAGTTGCTTCTGCAGAATTTGGGGAAGGAATTTTGGGGTTGGATCTGCAGCGTCTGGGGAAGGGAGTTTGGGGTTCTTTCTGCAGGATTTGGGAAGGGAGTTTGGGGTTGGCTCCACAGGATTTGGGGAAGGGATTTTGGTGTTTTTTCAGCACCATTTGGAGAAGGGAGTTTGGGTTTTTTTGCAAGCCCAGCTCCTGCTCTGAGGCTGAGCAGCTTGGGAACCTGTCGGAGGGGGGAGTTGCCCCCACTCCTGCCTTTTGCTCCGTTTTTTTCCCCCATTGCTGTGAAATTCAATCGTGTTTTGCAGCTCTCGAGGCCTCCCAAAGCCCAGCAGCTGCGTTCTCATCTGGCTTGAAAGTTTATCCTCGTGAAGCCCAAACAGAACCAGCCTGAGAGCGCTCTGTGGGGACACGGAGCAAAGCCAGCCCGGAGGCAGCTTGGGCAGCCTTTTCACCCTGCAGAAAGGAGATTTCCCCCGATAAAACACTTGGGAGTCTCTTTTTACCCTGCAAAACGGAGATTTCCCCCGATAAAACACTTGGGAGTCTCTTTTTACCCTGCAGAAATGGGATTTGCCCCAGTAAAACACTTGGGAATCTCTTTTTACCCTACAGAAAGGAGATTTCCCTTGATAAAACACTTGGGAATCTCTTTTTACCCTGCAGAAATGGGATTTCTCCCAGTAAAACACTTGGGAATCTCTTTTTACCCTGCAGAAATGGGATTTCCCCCAGTAAAACACTTGGCAATCTCTTTTTACCCTGAAGAAAGGAGATTTCCCCCAGTAAAACACTTGGGAATCTCTTTTTACCCTACAGAAAGGAGATTTCCCTCGATAAAACACTTGGGAATCTCTTTTTACCCTGCAGAAATGGGATTTCTCCCAGTAAAACACTTGGCAATCTCTTTTTACCCTGCAGAAAGGAGATTTCCCCCAGTAAAACACCCGTTGGTTTCTTTTTACCCTGTAGAAATAAGATTTCTCCCAATAAAACACTTGGGAATCTCTTTTTACCCTGCAGAAATGGGATTTGCCCCAGTAAAACACCCGTTAGTTTATTTTTACCCTGTAGAAATAAGATTTCTCCCAATAAAACACTTGGGAATCTCTTTTTGCCCTGCAGAAATAGGATTTGCCCCAATAAAACACTTGGGAATCTCTTTTCACCCTGCAGAAATGGGATTTCTCCCAGTAAAACACTTGGCAATCTCTTTTTACCCTGCAGAAATGGGATTTCTCCCAATAAAACACTTGGGAATCTCTTTTCACCCTGCAGAAAGGAGATTTCCCTGATAAAATGTTGCTGTTGAGGCAGGACGGGAATGAATAGATTTGACTTAGAAGGCTGCCGAGAGTAAAACTTTGATTTATTTAAAATATATTGCTTTTTTATATAGAGTTTTGTAAGGATTAAATCTGTTGGTTCTGAAGTGAAAACAACTCGAACCATTGGTGCAAAGTGCTTGATGCACAGTGATAGAACTTAACTATAAACTATGTGAAAAACAGGAGAGATAAAGAATTATTTACATTCTTCTCCAGCTCTTTCCCAGGCCTCTGCCTGGTAGAAACTCTCAGTTTCTTTCTTTGGCTGAATCTGAGACCCACAATAAAATACATGGGAATTTCTTTTTACCCTGCTGAAAGGAGATTTCCCCTGATAAAACACTCGTGGATCTCTTTTTACCCTACAGAAATGGGATTTCTCCCAGTAAAACACTTGGGAATCTCTTTTTATCCTACAAAAAGGAGATTTCCCCTGATAAAACACTTGGGAATCTCTTTTTGTAAGCTATTTAAAAGATTGGTTTTTTGGGTTGCTGTGGTTTGTTTAGTAGTTTAGGTAAAGGCACATATACTTGTATTTATTTTTTGTTTGTTTTTCTCTTTTTTTTTTTCTTTTGGTTTAGGGTTGGTGCTCTCTTTTATACAGTACATTATGTGTTAAATGTTTATAGGTTTTTTAATGTTTATTATTTATATTAAATGGTGCTCTTTTACTTTAAATTAATTTGTGAGTGTTAATATTACTAAGAACAGGCAGGTAAGGAAGAAGAAAGAGGGAGGATAGGACAGGCTTAAATTTCTTTATCTTAAAACTTTTGACCTCTATGTATAAAACTAAAACTTCCTTCTATAGGACTTTAAAATTTTTCTCTTTACTTTGTGACTACTTTTACTATAATATTTAAAATTCTATGACTTCTTGGGTTTTGTTTTTTTTTTTTTGTAAAGTTGGTAAATCATTCTATGGCTTAAATTTAAAATTACAGCTGTTTTCAGCTGCCTGTTGGGGTTTTAAATGCTTCTGACTTGGACTCGGAACATCCAAAAATGTCTGAGAGATATTTTGAGTTCTGAAATTGCTGATGCCTTGGGAAGGCTGAGCTAGAACAGAGACTGGACAGAGCCAAAGAACAAAGCAGGGATTTATTAAAGGATCTCCTCAGCTGATCCACCTTGGGCAGCACAAGAGCCCAGCCAGGGCTGCACCCAAAATGAACCCAAATGGTCCCAAAATGAACCAAAATGAACCCAAAATGGTCACAAAATGAACCCAAGATG